CTCACTGGTTGCAGCGGGGGAAGGGGGAGGAGCAGGGGAAGGAGTCCCGCTCCGGCGACAGACGTGAAGGAAGGACTCCGAGCGGGTCCTCACTGGGAACCAGCTGAGCTGCCTCGCTCAGGGGGGTGAAAATCCAGCTCCGGCGACCTAGTGCAGCCGTCTGAACCTTGGTGTGGGCAGCGCGAGGTCGAAGAAAGAATTCATCCACCGGCTCAATTACGGCCTCGGGGGCGGGGCTAACAACAGGAAGCCCGGCGACAGACGTGAAGGAAGGACTCCGAGCGGGTCCTCACTGGGAACCAGCTGAGCTGCCTCGCTCAGGGGGGTGAAAATCCAGCTCCGGCGACCTAGTGCAGCCGTCTGAACCTTGGTGTGGGCAGCGCGAGGTCGAAGAAAGAATTCATCCACCGGCTCAATTACGGCCTCGGGGGCGGGGCTAACAACAGGAAGCGGGGGGCTAACTATGGCCTTGGGGGTGGAGCTCACTGCACCGAGGGGAGGAGCTCACTGCACCGAGGGGAGGAGCTCACTGCACCGAGGGGAGGAGGGGGGCTACACTGAGGCACAGCAGCTGGGCTGCTGGAGTGTCTCAAGCATAGACAAGCCAGGATCTGGCTCCTTACCCCGGGGGCAAAGAGGGAGAAATGCTAACAGAGGCCTCCATCCAGGGCCGGGAGGGGAGATTCAGGGATTAGCTCCTGGACGGGGGACAGCTGGGGAGCACTCAGAATCAGGTGGCTCTGGGCCAGCTCTAAGCAGGGGGGCTCTGGCTGGCTCCTTACGCAGCACCGGCTCCCTGGCCCCCGCAGCAACACAAAACACAAACCTCCCTGCTTATTCCCCACAAGACTGGTCCCTGCAGGACCCCTCTGGCCTGTTTCCCCCGCCCCCAATCCGGACGAATGCTGCTCTGACCGGACCCAGTTCAAATCAGGTGGCTCTGGGCCAGCTCTAAGCAGGGGGGCTCTGGCTGGCTCCTTACGCAGCACCGGCTCCCTGGCCCCCGCAGCAACACAAAACACAAACCTCCCTGCTTATTCCCCACAAGACTGGTCCCTGCAGGACCCCTCTGGCCTGTTTCCCCCGCCCCCAATCCGGACGAATGCTGCTCTGACCGGACCCAGTTCATGTTGGAGCGATTTGACCCACGGCTGGGCATGGCGGAGCAGGGCGCAAGGGGAAGGAGATTCAGCCCCTTTTCAGCCCAGGGTGGAGCTAACAGGACCCACCTGGCCTGGATCCCAAGTGGTGCCAGCAGCGGCACCGAGCACGTCCCTGCAACGGGCTGGCTGGATTCTCTGCCGTTTTACCGCAGAGCGTCTCACGGGCTGCTGAGCTGCGTGAGGGCCTGGGGCCCCGGGCCCAGGGGTTGCCGGTTACTGTGTTTCCCAGGGGGCGGGGAGTCGGTATCTCCTGGAGAGCAAAGGGGCTCCCGAGGGGAGAGTCTCGGGGACTGTGGTGGCACTGACCTGTTTCTGCATGGCTGGGGTGGCATCCACTTTAGAGGCAGAAGGGAAGGGCATCACCAGGTCAAAAATGTTGGACCAGGACTGGGCCCACATGTTGCCTAGAGCCCCCCGCAGGGGGTGGGGGCAGGAAGGGGAGGACAAAGGGAGAGCAGAACAAAACCGAAGTTAATCCCAGCCAGAAATGCCCCTTCTGTCCTCAAATGCTCCCCGCTCCCCGTTCTCGGGGTAACACGTGACAGAAGGAGTCCCCGTTTCGCCCTGATAGCCCTGACATAAGCCAGCATAACTCAGCTGCCAGCAGGGAGAGGAAGGATTTCCCAGTGGTTAGAGCGTGAGCCTAGGATTTACCAGACCTGCGTTCCAGTCTCTACTCTGCCTCTGATTTGCTGGGTGCACTCGGGCAAACCTTTTACTTTCAGGGGCTCCTGCCTTCCCTGAGTTTCTACGGAGGTTTGGAGCTTACCTGCCTCAGTTTCCCCTCTGTACAAGGGGCAACGCCCTCCTTCATATCAAAGCTCAGGAGGAGCCGTGATGGAGCCAGAGAGGAATCACAGAAAGGGAGCGGCCCTGGCTTTGAAACCTGGCTTCAGCTTGGGCCCAAGGGTACAGCGAGGGGGAACAGGTCCCTGAGTATGTAGAGCTGCAGGGCACGAGGCAGAGATCCTGCCTGGGTAGCCGGGACTCAGGGTAGATCCGGCTGGCTACAGGTCTCACCCTTAAGTGCCTAACGTTCCTAATGTTTGGTGCCCGGAGCTGGACTTTCCAAAGAGCTCCGGGCAATTTCCCGTACACGGCACCCAATGTGCTGGGCTTTTCACAAGGCCGGACCTCCCCAGGCCAGGAAGTCTGGTCCCTGTTCACAAGCCTTCTTTTTCACAGGACGGGGGCCCTTCCCCTGACTAGCACCGTCACCCCCACAGGGGCCCTTCCCCTAACTAGCACCATCACCCCCACATTAACAGCCTGATTGCCAGCCCCGGGCCCAGCCGTAACACCCGCTGAGAGCATCCCAGGGGAAACACGAGGGCCCCGCCGGGCCTGGCAGGGCCTTACCGAGCAGGTGGGCCGGGATGGGGCCCTTCAGGTTGACGTGCTCCGGGCCGTACTTGTTGTGGAGGGCGCGGCGCACGTAGGCGTGCAGGTTGAGGTACAGGGGCTGCAGCTGCTGGTAGATCCTCTCCAGGTCTGCTTCGAAGGTGGCCGTCTCGTAGAGGGATCTCCAGAAGGCCCCGTTGTCCGTGTGGCCTGCCCGGATGTGGGAGAGCGGGGAGGGTTGTTGGCACCCTGCCTCCCCTCCCTCGGTGCCTGGCAGCTGCACTGGCCCGGCCCAGGGACGTCCCGCCCTGCCCTGCCCCCTCGTGCCAGGGGCCGAAGTGTGGGCCAACGGCGGCTGACTGGACCTCGGTCCTGCACCATCGTGCCTGGCTCCAGGCGGCCTCCATTGTCCACTCAGCCAGCTCCCCTCACGTTGGGCTACCCCAGGACCTTGCTGGCAGCTACTGCTTTTTAGCCCATTTCCCTTCAGCCACGTGTCCACAGCACCCCAAGTGGTTCACCTGGGGCTGCCAGGAGATTCTCCAGGCGCCTAAGGACACGCGAGGCCTGAATTCCCACTGGGCAAGCTGCCAAGGGGCAGCTGCCTGAGTAGGGGGGGATTGAGCCCACGACCCTGTGCTCCTGATGCTCTCTCCCCTAGTCCACTCAAGGACCGCATACCACCTCCCTACCTTCAACAGGTCTCTTCTCCTGCCTTCCTAAGAAAGGGGTGGGCAGGACTTGAACCCACCACCCTGTGCATCCCAGGCTAACGCCCTACCCCTAAGCCACACTAGAACCCACGGAGTAAAAGGGAGGTCACGCCTCGAGCTCAGGGTTGGGCGCGGGAAGCTGAGGCCCATGAGAGATCTGCAGGGTAGGGGCGGGGCCAGGGGCGTGTCGACAGGGCGGGGCTAGGAGTGTAGCAGGATGGGGGCACAGCTGGGGTGAGGCTGTTTTAGGAAGTCGGGGCCCCCCTCCCCTTTGGGAAGGCCGCTCCATAGCAGGAACCTGACCATTGAGTCTGGCTGCCTTGTTGCTCAGCTCCACGTATCTCTTGAATTTGCTCCGGATTTTCTTCCCGGAGGCGTCCCGCCAGCCCTTCCAGGAGAAGAGGAGCTCGTCGTAGT